CTCCTCCTCCTCCTCCTCTTCGCTCATCCTCCTCCTCATCATCGCTCTTCCTCCTCCCTCCCCTCCTCCTCCTCCTCCGTCGCCCCCTCCTCCTCCTTCCCATCCTCCTCCTCCTCCTCCTCCTCCTCCTCCTCCTCCTCCTCCCCTTCTCCCTCCTCTCTCCTCCGGGAAGGGGGGAGGCAACAAAGGAGGGCAATTTGCCCCTGCCATGCCCACGTGGGCCTGGCCGGGAGCCTGCAGGACTCCGGCGGTCTTCTGGCCCAAGACCTCAGTGGGCGCGGGCAGGGGCCGACCGTCACGGCAGTCCCCGCAATATTCCAAGAACGAAAGAAAATTGTTCCAAACTCCCTCTCGCAGTGCGCAGGTGTTTGCTTCGAGAGGTGATGCGCAATACTAAAGAGATGTCGCACTGCGCCGAGCGATGAGAAGGACAACGCGGTCATGCAGCACCACTGCGATTACGATGCCTCTTGCGATATTCGGCATCCTGCCCACCAGTTCGTTCACTTGTCCGACACAGCTGCGCCGTCTGCATCAGAACCCCTATGGTGGATGGACTGTTCCGACAACGCCTGTCAGCCTCCCCCCTTGCCCCCCCGCCCCCCCGCCCCCCCGCCTCCTCCGCCTCCGCCTCCGCCTCCGCCTCCGCCTCCGCCTCCTCCTCCTCCTCCTCCTCCTCCGCCTCCGCCTCCGCCTCCGCCTCCGCCTCCGCCTCCGCCTCCTCCTCCTCCTCCTCCTCCTCCTCCTCCTCCTCCTCCTCCTCCCTTGCCCCCTTCCCCCCCTCGCCCTGGAGGCCTCTGGACGTCTCTCGAGGTCCCCAGATATCTCCGAGATGTCTCCAGAGGTCCCCACGGCCCCTGCAGGCCTGCGAGCCCCATCGGAGGCCTGAAAGCAAGGTACGCAGCACATGTTTGAAAGTCGTGCCCTTGCTCCTCATCCTCCTCCTTTTTCCTCCTTTTCCTTCTCTTTTCCCTTCCAAGCGTCCGAAAACGAACGAAGGGAACACATAAATTTGCGAAAACGTCCAACCCGAACAATACACAGACTACCGAAAACATACGACACCTGATTATTGATTGTTTCCTCCACCTCCCCCTCTGAGGATAGAGGATGGAGGAACATTGTAGGCGTTTACGGGAAAGAGGAATAATAATGATGAGGACCAGACGAAGCCCAAAATGTATCGACGATGCTGCAATTCATCCTCCCGTCCCCTCCTCAGTCGTCCCCGCAACCACCATTCTCCTTTTCGCAAAACGCTTTCCGTGAAAAGACAAGTGCCCCATGGTCAAGCAATTCAGGCAGGAGCTCCATTTTGAAAGACACTGCCGTCCATCCTTTCAGCTAAAAGGACGGCGACAGGTGGGGCCATAGTACCAGGAACGGCACGGCAGCCCCAGTCCGAAAAGGAGTCGCCCTCCAATTTAATACTGTCGGCCATGAAAGATTACGAGAACTCGAGCTGGATCCCCATGTTGCGAAAGAAATCGCCCTTCATCCCTGCAGCTGCTCCACAATGTTGCATGTGTGGTGGTATTGTTTGAGAACGTATCAAGCGAAAACTCAAATTTGATAGGAACCGTCCTCCATCCGCGCTGCTGGCTGGAGTGTTCGAGACTCGTGCGCGCGGAACCAAAGCGAGAGTCCCATCTTGGAGACGACTCGCCCCCCATCCCTGTAACTGTTGGATATGTTCAAGACGAGTGTGTGTGTGTGTGTGTGTGTGTGTGCGCGTGTGGTGCCAAAGCGAAAGCCTCAAGCCGTGCAACTATTGGAACTGTGCAGAACGAACGTGCCCGGCGCCAAAACGGGAGGCCATTTTCAGCACGGCCCGCCCTCGATCCGTGCACCTTCATCAAGCGTTTTGCGTCGTAGCGCGGCAGAGGCAGTCCGCGCGCGCGCCCAGGCAAACAGGCAATGGCATTGCGAATTGTCCTCCCGAGGTCAAGGGAAGGAGGAAAGGAAGAGGACTGGCCGAGGCAGAGAGAGAGAAAGGGGAACACAAACAACAAACAATAACAACAAACAACAAACAACAAACAACAAACAACAAACAACAAACAACAAACAACAAACAACAAACAACAACAACAACAACAACAACAACAACAACAACAACAACAACAACAACAACAACAACAACAACAACTACTAGCACGTGGGGACACACCGTTCTCACCAGTGCCAGGGTTTTCATAGGAGGCGGGCAATACCCCCACTTTGTGGGGGGGCCGGTTCAAGCTCTACCAAATTTCCAAACGACTCTTCGCCACCACCCACACCCAGCTTCCCGCCCTATGACGTTCGGACACTTCACTTCGTGGCATGCGGACGACCGTGGCTACTATTCAGGGCCCCGCGGCCGACGACGACGGCGTGCGCGCGCGAAGAAAAAACGAATGTGTCCCGCATGGTATTATTTGACAGGGATGATGGCCCTGGCAGGTGCGCAACCGTTGTTGCAGAAGTTCGAAAAAGTTGCTCGCAAAAGCCCGTTTGACAGAAATGTTTAAAAAGTGTTGGGTTTCCTACGAATCCGCAAGAGCGCGCGGGATGAAATTTTGACATTTTTTTTTTTTTTGAAAAACCATTGGTTTTTTGATGTTTTTATGTTAAAATCGCTACGAAAACTAAGGTTTTGGAAGGATTTCGTCTTGCGCGCGCGAATGTCCACTTTACCTTATTTTTTGCAAGGGATTCTTGAAGTTTGGTTATGTTAGAACAAGAAATGTCCACTTTAGCTTATTTTTTGCAAGGGAAAACCGATCGTAACAACACAACCGGATCCGGACCAACCCGTTTTGCCTGAGACTTCCTCACGAAAATGATGAAAATGAGGCTGCGGCCTAGGCGCGGCGGGGGGGTCGTGCACCAGGGGTCCCAACAATAATTATTCTTTAGAAGTAATAATGTTCAACAACAACAACAACAACAACAACAACAACAACAACAACAACAAACAACAACAACAACAACAAACAACAACAACAACAACAACAACAACAACAACAACAACAACAACAACAACAACAACAACAACAACAACAACAACAACAACATCAACACCAACATCAACACCAACAACAACAATAAACCACCACCACCAACAACAACAACAACAATCACTTTAAGACTGTTCGCCCTTATCTGCTCGAGTGTCCAATAACGCGTATTTCCCAAACCCTCGATACCCGCCCTCGTCGTCTTCGATAGAACCCCTTTTGAGGGGTATACCTTTCTTCCCTGCAGGCCAGGCCCCGGCAAGCGGCGGGGCAGCCGCAGACCGTCGGCCTGGCCAGCGGCAGCGCTGATCGGAGGGGCGGCCGCGGACCGTCGACCCGACCCCAAGAGGGACGGACAGGGGACCGACCACGACGACGACGACGTCGACGACGACGGCGACGACGACGACTACGACGACGACGGCGACGACGACGACGACGAGCGAAAGCGAGAGCGAGAGAGAATGACAGCAGGGCCACAAGGACACGAAGTAGGCCACGAAGGGCGACAGCGGGGACACGAAGGGAATGCGTATGGGGTCACGAAGAGCGCGAACTTGCGGGGGCCACGAAGGGCAGATAATGCGGACCACAGAAGGCAACGATGGGGCAACTGAAGGTAGCAACTGGGCCACGTAGGACAGTGAGGGGGCCACAAACGGCGACAACGGGGCCACGAAGGGCATGCACATGGGGCCACAACGGGCGCGAACGAGCGGGGCCACGAAGGGCATGCGTATACTGGGCCGCGGAGGGCAAGTACGGGGCCACTGAGGGCAGCAACGGGGCCACGAAGGGCAGCGAGGGGGCCACGAAGGGCGACAGCGGGGCCACGAAGGGCACACATATCGGGCCACCGCGGGCGCGAACGAGCGGGGGCCACGAAGGGCAGGGAGGGGGCCATGAAGGGCTGCAACGGAGCCACGACGGGCAGCGAGGGGGCCACAAAGGGCTGCAACGGGGCCACGAAGGGCTGCGACGGGGCCACGAAGGGCAGCGAGGGGGCCACGAAGGGCTGCAACGGGGCCACGAAACAAAGAGAGGAGGCCACGAAGGGCAGCGAGAGGGCCACGAAGAGCTGCAACGGGGCCACGAAACAAAGCGAGGGGGCCACGAAGGGCTGCAACGGGGCCACGAGGGGCAGCAAGATCCCGATTCCTAGGTAATCTGTGAGGGAGTCCTGTTCGTGAGCGCAACTCCTGGGTGCCTGGGTGTCGGGAGCGCGGCGCTTGAGTAAATTGCAGGAAATTCAAACGCAAAGGCGCTATTCTTCAGAAAATTGCGAGCAAGTCTCCAGCGACAAGCGACCCCAGAACGCCGGGAGAGCGACCCTTTAATACATTGCAAAGGAAGTCCCAAGCGAAAGCGCGACTCCTGAATAACATGCGAAGAAGTCTTGGGCGGGAGCGGGGGTCCTGGCTAAATCGTGAGGAAGTCGCAGGCGGGAGCCGCTGTTGTTGTAACCCAAGGGCCAGGGCCCCAGTTTGAGACCCCCGAGACTTTCCCTGTCAAAAAACAGGGTGCGAGCGTCGAGAGGCACACTTCGATTAAGAATTACCCCAGTGCGATCCGACCTAGGAGTTGGAGCATCTAGGAAAGCAACATCTACAGCTACACCGACAGCTACATTATCATTTACACATGCATTTACATCTACATCAACATCAACAGCGAGATTCACATCTACATCTACATCTACACCTGCATCTACACCTACATATACATCTACAGCTACACCTACACCTACAGTTACAGCTACATCCACAACTACACCTACATCTACATATACATATACATCCGCATCCACATCTATAGCTAAGCTGAACGAAGCTAAGCTAAGCTATGCTATGCTATGCTATGCTATGTTGCGCTGTGCTATGCTGAGCTAAGCTATGCTATGCTATGCTGCGCTTTGCTTTGTCTTGCTTTGCTGTGCACCCAGCGACAGCAGGCTGTTCAGCACTGCTCGCGGCTCCTGCAAATGCTGCAGGCTGTTCAGCATTGCTTACACTACGTTCAACACTGCGCGCGGCTCCTGCAAAAGCTGCAGGCTGTTCAGCACTGCTCGCGGATCCTGCAAGAGCTGCAGGCTGTTCAGCACTCCTTGCAAGAGCTGCAGGCTGTTCAGCACTGCTCGCGGCTCCTGCAAGAGCTGCAGGCTGTTCAGCACTGCAGGTCCGGCTTTGCGTTGCTTGTGCTTTGCTTTGCTGTTGCTGCTGTTGCTTTGCCTTTGCTTTGCTGCTATGCTATGCTATGCTATGATAT